ACAAGGTCAACTTTGCTTTTTTAAATAGAAACACATATTTTTTATTCATATTATTATTATACACATATTATTTATAGTACTTCAGGAAAATGTAAGAAAATGAAGTACTAAAAAGTTAATATAAAATTCTGAAAAAATTCTCAGATCTCTATGAGAATAAAATATATATTTTTTATCTCTTCATATTTTCCGCTAAAGTTGATAGAATTCAAGTAAAAAATTATTGAAGCCAATAATCTTGTAGATATTTACGTAAATATCTTAGAAATAGAGGTTGTATAAAAAATTTTTTCAAGCAAAAGTTGTTTGCGTTTTTACGTTGAATAAAATGCCGTAATAAAAAGTATGTGTTTCTATATAAAAAAGCGAAATTGACCTTGTTCTGACCTTGGCGACACCATCCTATGTCAAATACCTACTATCGTTGAATGCGTTTTTTTAAGCCTTACAACTTTTGTCTGAAACATTTTTCTCTAAAATGCTCCCCCGCCGAGTTACCTTGCCGTTCCGGTACTTTTGCTATACCCTGTATATATCATACATGTATAGATTTACACAGAACGTATAGAATTACACGTGTAGGATCTAATACAAAATTAATATTAGAAATCCATGTACGACATGGTGAGTGGTCTCATTGAGAATGTAGGATACGAGGAGAGTCCTACCGAAGATGACTTTACAAAGCTCAAAAGAGTTGAAGCCTTAAAATGGGCATGTTACTTCGGTCACCCTGAATGTATAAGAATGGCCACTAAGAAACTGGAGGAACATCTCGTGGTTCTCGAAACGGACGAGTGAGTTTTTTTATCGTATATGAATTTTTAGCGCATGGCAAACTGTTTGATTAAGGCTCAGATATGCATTCTACTCGTTATTACAGGCGTATATTACAGGCTTCCGCCAAACTTGAAGACATGGACGTTATGTAACGGTTTGATGAACGCAAGCTTGTCTTCTTGGAACAAAATAATGGACGTATACATAAATGATTCGGACTATACAATTTTAACTTACCTGGCATGCTCCGACAAACCTGAGATTCTCATCAATTATTTGAATATAAACGATATAATATTAAATAACGAAAGTTATCACATGATCTATGACTTAATTATAGAGAAACATGCAAATCAAAATCTAATATTGGACTATGCCTTAACGAATTTGTAACAAATGACTTCCAGGTAACAGATTTCTATTAGTTCAAGATACTCTGTCTTTTCATTTGTTAATTGTGTATGTTTTATTTATAGAGGAATACGAATAAAGCACGCATTAAGTGTGATTATCAATAATGTGTATTCCAAGCAAAAACTTGACCAGGTACATAAATGCATGTTATATTTAGACAATATTTCTCGAAGTGTAATTTATTTACTGTATAATTTATTTATTTACTTGCGATATACACGAAAATTATTTATTTCAGATAAACGAATTCGTGAAAAGTAGTTACAAAGAGAACGAAAAGCTAATTAAATATGTTCAAAAAAAAATAGACAAGCGTCTCAATACACTGTTAGGAATATATTACAAATTTATAAAGACTACAATCGGAAATTGGTAAAAATAAAATCGGAGAGATCGCGATCGATCTAAGACAACAATAGCAATGCAAATTTAATCTAAATTGTTAACTATTCTCAATATTCCTTTCGAAGTTTCGTGGATATTCAACTTCTTTCATACATGCAATAAACTATGAAATATTATTCCAAACCGATACATATTCTTTCTTTTAAAATTTCATTAAATGCTTTTTTATCGTCAGCTGGCAAATCAACTGCCATCGTGATAATCGAGATCAGGATTCGTAGGCGAGAAATGGTTCCTACTATATAAAGTATGCGATTCCATCGATTGAAGAGTTCTTTAAATTCATTTAAGAACAAGACAAGCGAGCGTGTATCTGAATTGTTACGAGCATATCATACGTTTAAGGTACGAAAAGTCCAACTTTGGAGTGCTGTATTTCGAAAACTACCCGTGTTCGGACCTTGGGGCCATCAACACTTTTGTTCTACGTGTTGAGAACTATAACATATCAAATTTTTAAAAAAATTAGCCGAAAGCCATTTCCCATAAGGATTCTGCGGGGTCCTTTAATCTAAATTGTTAACTATTCTCAATATTCCTTTTAAAGTTTCGTGGATATTCAACTTCTTTCATACATGCAATAAATCATGAAATATTATTCCAAGCCGATACATATTCTTTCTTTTAAATGCTTTTTTTATCGTCGGCTGGCGAATCAACTGCCATTGTGATAATCGAGATCAGGATTCGTAGGCAAGAAATGGTTCCTACTATACAAAGTATGCGATTTCCTCGATTGAAAAGTTCCTTATTCATTTAAGAACAAGACAAGCGAGCGTGTATCTGAACTGTTACGAGCATATCATATGTTTATAAAAGTCACAAGCTGAGATCGACGACAAGCAAAATCTGAGAGATGGCGAGTGATCAAAATAGAACAATAGCAGTGCAAATATAGCTGTTTATCTAAATTGTCAGTTATCTTCAATATTCCTCTTGAAAATGTTGCTCTTAAAGTACAATAGATTGTAAGTTGTAAGACTTGTATGACAGGTACTATGTTTTCAGAATGTAAACATTTTAACATGTAAGTTATATCACGGAATATACTCGATAAGAACATTTGTTTTGCATATTTCCTCGAAATGATCTCTCTTTATTAACATTAAATATCTTCAAACGCTGCCTGAATCATACCGTAGACGCCTATAAATAAAAAGTCGGGAATACTTCGACTAGTAGAATTGTCGGCGTCGTCGAAGAAAGACTCGTAAAACCTGATAAAGTAAGTACGCAAAAGAGAAAAGTAATTTAACTGCGTACATTTGCTTCTATAGTCAAGTTATGCTCACACAAAATTAATAAGCTGGAATCAAATAACTTACTTTTACACATATTGTTTTTAATCTACTAAGTCCTTAAAACAAAATTAAATACCAGCACGCACACACACACACTATAAGATTAACTTGGAATTGAATAAAGCACGGATGAAAGACAAAACGTCCTTATTCCTACGAAAAGCACGAACGCACAACTCATACGAATCTCACATCGACACATTTCTAATTGATTGGCTAACTTATTACGATAATAGCAGCTTGACGTCTAATCGAAGCCACTTCCATTTTGCGAAGCGATTACTATCTCTTCAGGCGGAAATTATGTAAGATCAAACCCAGTCTTGAATTTTAACCCATTGCTATTGCTTAATATGCCTGATTCGTTTTCCTTGATATTGCCACACAACGGATGTTTTGATGTTGGTGACACGTGCCTACCGACGTTACATTTATTATGGCACTCAGACGACTGATCGCCGAGTTATCGACAAATTCCATGCAATTGACGCTAAAACGCAAAAGTTGAAATATCTTTAAAGTTGAAATACAGTTACGCCGATGATAAAGATAATTTAAATTATTTTACTCTCGTAGAATGATGCTATGGAAAGTAATTTCCGCGTGCGTCTTGGTGCTTGTCGTTGCGAACGCTACTGCCATTCGACATTCAAATACAAGCGACAGGAGACCGAGTTATCGCGGAACTGCTGCTCTGATCCGTCGTAAAGCCAGGTGAGTAATAATTGTAACAATCGCGTCGAGTAAATCGCACTGACGATCGAAATGTCGGCAGATGGGGCGCTGGAACGTCTTTCACAAGGATTCACTCCCACGTGAACTCCCAGTGCTGGAACAAGCCACCTTCAAAAGCCATCTACGAGATTTTCGTCAAACACCGTCGCAATTACACGACCATCTCAAACACGTCGGTCGCCGCAGTGTCCGCGGAAATCGAGCGGAGTGACGGGAAAATGCGTTTTGAAGAATCGCCTGTCGCGTCAACGTATCTCCTAGTTGGCCTTCTAGTCCCCGATCTTCGTAACGCGAGCGATTCCGGTGGAACTATCAAAGTCTGGAGCTGCGGCAACGCAATTTCCTTGCCGAGATTTGCCCACGGAGTCGGCCGGCGAGCAACGATCGAATCGGAGCGATACGTCGACCGTTCCGTCGCGGTACCCAAAATCGATCATGTCGCGTTTCCCGCCTTAGACCGTACACTCGATAACGTTTCTCTCCCATAACAATATTGGAAAATAGTTTTGGATAACGGCCGAAATACATTTTTTTCATACGATATATGCGAGGTCCAAATAACAGGACGTATCTGAGGTGGAATTTACGTGGAACAAAGCGGGAGTGGCGTTCCTAAAATATTTTCTTACAGATAGAAGCATTCTTAAATAACTTTCGTGCGAGGATGCCGCAAGTAGCGAAAAACCGAGAGCAGGATCTAGAGCCGACGGAGACGACGGTACGCAGAATTTGCTCGCGGTCGAGGAGTCAGGTGAATGCAAGCTCGCCTACGTCGAACGCTACGTCGAGAGGAACCCGTCAGTCCTGTACGTATATGAACAATGGTTGTCAGAATGATTGTTAATAGCATCATCTCTGAGTGAAACGCGGAATAGGCAGTGCTTTATCGTCTAATAACCTTCGACCGACCTGCGATTATACAATACGAAACAAAGATTATCAGGTCGAATAGAAATGCATTACTTACGTATACAGAAATTCAACGTAAAAACGATAGCTGCCATTGACAATGAGGCGAGTATATAGATACAGAAATACCAATTGGGAAGCAACGATCATTCTGACAAAGGTCAATTCCTCCGCGGATTCCAGATACATTATGGCGTAAGAGCGAATCGACATTCATAAAAGTTCAGAGATATAATTAATGCCTCTTTATCGCCTCCTTATCCGTATACAGAAGGTTATTCCGCGATAATAAACGCACACAATACCGATTGAGATAATATCATTATCAATAACGAAACCGAACGCTCGATCATTTATACAGCAAAAAGATTTTGCATTTGCCTTGAAGTCGATCCGTGCAGAGACTTTTGTGTTAGAATTTTAACATATCAGTGTGTCAATTTAACATATTATCTTTGTGTTATTTTGACTATTCTGCGTTGAATTTATATTCACCACTTCTAAATATGAAAATAACACAATAGATAATCCACAATATATAGTGTTCAGATGTAACATTTTTGTGTTAATTTTTGACATATTATTTATGCTATTTGTTTACATAACTTACCTTATGTTAAATTAGTGCGAAAAGTAAATAAATTGATAAAATGTATTAAACTTAACACACAATTTTTGCACAATATGCAGATACAGACTTCTTGAAATTATAATGCATCAAAGTTCACCTTTTTTTTAAACTCCATATGCATCGTGATCTTGAAACTCTGAAATGCTGACGCGTAGCATACTTTCTCACTACAATAAAAAATGATTTATATTAAAAATTCACTCATATACTCTGACTTTGGATCAATATTTGATTTCCTGTGACAGTATTTTATTGACACGATTAACGAAAGTGATTTAGTAATGACCGTTGATAAAATAATTCAGAGAAACAGTTGTTAAGTCTTGAAGTAATTCCGAGATAAGTTTTTGTTTTCTTTTTATGATACGATTACACGGAAAAAACAGTATGGATGGCCCAGACATAAATCTTGATTATGCTAAGCAGATTTAATAGGTTGGCACAACCAGATTTAAGTGTAGGTTACTTATGCTGTTTCTTCTCTGTATCTTTTTTCATAGCCTATCCTGCTTAAATCGTCATATGACGCCTCACTTGCCATGTCTCTCCAGCAAATAATCGCGCTCTACTATTGCTTCCGATATGTTTCGCCACCGTTATCTCAGTAACAGCAATAGTTTACATATGTATGCCGTGGTTAAACAAACAGCAGTTCTGCTGGCCGCAAGCTATCATAAATGATAGGATTTTTTTCTGAAAGTTTCTGAGCCGCATACATGACATATAAACAGCTATGTATAACACTCCGACATTGTCGTATGCAAAAGGAGAGGATTATATCGCGTCAGTCTCATGATAGTCAGTGCTGTGTAACGCGAAAGTTTTGTGTAATTACATCTCAATCATCGCGCTATGGCGATCATCAAGGGATTAATGACGGCAGCCCTGCTTATTGTCGCAGTGCCGAGTTTAGCGCGTCGAGTTTACGAACCGACATCAGACGTGGACGAAGATTTTTTTCTACTGCCGCAGCAGGTTATGCCCGTTCATTACAATATACGATTAATACCACACATCGCGGAAGGTAACTTCACTTCCAACGGCGAAACAAGCATTGATGTGAAGGTGCTTGAGCCGACTGACGTCGTTGTGTTGCACATCATGGAGCTTACGATAGACGAATCGCAGACAAGGATGACTTGCAAAGACGAACATGCACTGTATTACGTCCCAAAGCGACATGACTACAATAATAGATCAGAAATTTTAACTCTGCAATTCGACAAGCCCTTGGACATCGGCGTGTACACGCTATACCTGAAATTCATGGGTGTGATCTCATCCTTGAATCATGGACTCTACAGGAGCTTTTACATTGATAACGAAGGCAACAAAGTGTAAGTAATTATTGCGAAAAAATATAATACTTAGTAACAGACAGTAGATCGTGCTAAAGATCGTGCTAGAAATGTAGAGAGATAACGCAAACACAGTATCAAAGAGCTTCTGTGAGAAGTGAAAACACGAAGTGTTTGCTACTCAACACGATACGGTGATATCTCTCCAGTTCATCGATCTTTTCGTATTCTTGTATTGTTGCATCTGCGCGCGCGATAAAATTGTAAAATCTACATCTACGCTATTTATTACAGAGAATGTAAGAGGATTTAAAATTCGCGTTCATGATAGCGCTTACGAAAATTAATAGAATATCGAGTGATTAATCGCTCTTGCTATGCGCCTGCCACATTCAACTCGCTCGATTGCTCCCGATTATTGCGTTACATAGTAAACGTTTACGCGACCTGTTGCTTCCTCACGATAGGTGCACAATTGCCATAGCACGACGAGATGCCGTAGCAACATTCATGCATCTGATGTGAGCTATAATCAATTTACAGGTGGTTGGCAGTAACGCATTTCCAACCGGTCCACGCACGACAGGCGTTTCCGTGTTGGGACGAGCCTGCCATGAAGGCAACCTTCAAATTATCCATAAAACATTATCCCAATTATACTGCCTTGTCAAACATGCCGTCCTCCCAGTCGCAAGTCGATGAGACGGACGGAAAAGTGTGGACCCGCTTTGAGACGACGCCTGTGATGCCCACCAACGTGCTGGGCTTCGTAATCGCCGATTATGATCATATCTCGAATTTGGATGACACCATGAGAATATGGGGTCCGAAGCACTTACTTCATCTCGCCGCGTTTCCCCTCGATATCGCCGAAAAAGCGACGCACGAACTCGAAAAATTCACAAATAGTACCATACCTGTCCCGAAAATGGATCATGTGGTTGCACCTCATTATTCAAGCAGAGCCACCGAGAACTGGGGTATGATCGTTTACAGGTGAGTACTCGCGGTCTCTCCCTTATTCGGGAATATTAATAATTATCTCGATGATTACGATCGCAAGTAGAGCGCGAGATTTTCCTCAACAATTATTTTATAATTTAGACATGCACAATACATGATATATTTAAACAAAATATATAAAACAGGAAAAATAAATAAAACATAATAAAAGAGAGAATAATTATAATCTTTACATACAGCTGTGAACTAAGGCATAAATAAAACAGCTTGTAACAAGCCAGCTGCTATTGGTTGTGCGCACAAAATTTTATTGTAGAGAACTATAAACACTTATAAGAGAGAGAGAGAGAAATTTGACATATCAAGAAAGTTTTGGTCTTTGCTTTAAATAATTTTTAGGCTAAGCAAAAGAAATCATAATATTGTCAAGAAACTAGAGACTCGAAACAACAAAAATAATGTCAAAGTGTAAGATCAGATAATAATAAGGAAACTTATTTTAGAAAAGTTATTGTATCCGTACTATTAATTTTCAGGTTAGATACGCTATTATATGACGACAACACTCCCTTTGCAACAAAGATCAATAACGTCGATTCGATCGATTTCAAACGCTTTAACGTCATGACGATCACTCACGAGCTGGCACATCAGTGGTTCGGCAATCTAGTCAGTCCGACTTGGTGGAATTATCTTTGGCTGAGCGAGGGAATATCGACTTACCTTAAGTTCTACATTACTGACAAAGTATCGGAACAGATCATTTAATTCAGATTCAAATGTCACGCTTATTGATAATTACATTCCTTTTTTATTTTTCTTTTCACGACGTCTGTGTTTTCAGTTTCTCAACGAGTGGCGGCTAATGGATTTCTTTGTGGTGGAGGGTGTACAGGCAACGTTAGATAGAGATGTATCAATAACTGTACCAATTCATAGAAATATTACATCGGATATTCGAACAGCATATACTTACCTCACATACACGAAATGTAAGAAATACATATACATATTTGGTCTTATAATTTGGTCTTACGAGTCATCACACATATTTTATAGCTTGCGTCATGCATAAAGATAATTAGAAGTTCTAGTTTTAATTTTTCAGCCGCTGTCTTATTGCGAATGATGTCGAACTTTTTAACGGAAGATGTGTTCCGAAACGGTTTGATAAAATATCTTCGAGCGAAGTTAGTATCTCACTTTCTTGACATGCCAATAATTTCCGAGCAAATTCGCGATCGTCACAGATTTGTTATTGTCTTACTCATTTTTAGCGCATATGGCAATACCACGCCAGACGATCTATGGAAAGCAATGCAAAATGCACTCGACGAATCGGACGTGCCGCATAATGATTTTAACGTGAAGGAAGTGATGGACGCTTGGTTTGAACAACCGAATTATCCCATAGTAACGATCGAACGTGATTACACGAATGGCGATATCAAAGCGACACAAAAAGGAGTTTACTCTAGAGACGAAAATAGCGAGAAATGGTGGATTCCTTTAAATTTCGCGACGCAAACCGACTTAAACTTCTCGTCAACGCTCGCCACTCACTGGTTAAGACCTCAGGATGAGGCTGTAACAATCGAAGGAGTGGACGTAGACCATTGGATCATCGTGAATAAACAATTAACGGGTAACGAGTACTCTCGTAATATAAATGAATAAATAATTCGTGCAAAGCTCAATTACGGGAAACATCGTAGTGGTTCTTATAGCTTCCCGACAGATTAGTTTGAACATTCTTTGATGATCTATCTTCCACGAAGATATATCAACGCAATCGTCACCGCTGTTGTATCTAACAGGTCTTTACCGTGTAAATTACGATCTCACCAATTGGAAACGGATCGCTGCATTTCTCAATTCTGACGATTACGTCAAGATTCCCGCTTTGAACCGCGCCCAGATCATCAATGACGCTTCCTTCCTGATGATAAGCCGCCAGCTCGACGTCATCACTTTTCTCGAAATCACCAATTACTTATCGCGCGAGATCGACTGTATCGTGTGGCAGCCGGTATTAAAAATTCTTCAAACTATTGATACCTATTTTCAGGTACCCGAATCGGCAGCGATCGCTAGGGTAAGATTTTATTTTCTGGTAAATGTAGCTCAAATGAGTTATCTCAAATCGTTTAACTTGCAAATTATTGGCCATTGTAAAATGTTTCTTTCAAGCCGTTCGTCTTCAATCTGACGCGTAAGATACTTGAGAAGATCGGTTTCGACGACCGCCCTGATGACGATCCTTCCACTTTAAGAACTAGATTCTACCTCGGTCAGTTCGCCTGTAAGTATGGACATGCAGAATGTCAAGCAAAAGCTACCGCCAAGGTACTCGCATACGTGGAAGATCCAATTGCGAATAAGTAAGTTCTACTGAATCTATATATACGCCTGAAAAAAATGTTTGCATTGAATGTCAATTTTGCGATATCTATATAATTTTACGTAGTACATTCACCTTAGATTATTGGATTATTAAATTATCATTTATATGTTTATGTATAACATAACATATACATATACATACAACATAGTTTATATATTTACATAATTTATATGTTTACATTTATATTAACTAAAACATAATCTCTCACCGATCGGGAAAACAGCGGGAATTACTTACCCGAGATATTAATAAAGTTTATCAGCATCTCGTTACAAAGTATTACATTGGCGCATCATGTCCTGTTCAATGCACGATATTCAATTACATTAATTTTATTTTAGAATCCCACGAAATCTACAATGGATCTTATGTTTTGGTTTGATGAAAGCAAGCGATACTGTCTGGGACAAATTTCTGCAAGTGCAAAATTTGACATTGGAACATCACCTGACATTTCTCGGTTGCACAGAAAATATGAACATTGTCGAGAAGCACATAAATTATATCAACACTAGCGAATATGAATCTTCGCAGAAATATATGTACTACGAACATATCGCTCTCAACATATTAAAAAATCCATCCAATATCGATCGAGCAATTGATTACTTTATTAATAATTCGGACAGATTGAACGACTTGTAAGTAAACTTTTTTCTCTTTATCGCGCGGTGTTAAATATAAATACTTATAAATATTTAAAAATAATTTCTCTTTTATATTGATTCTCAGAGATATTTTCCTAAAAACCTCTAAAATTAAAACCTCTAATTAATATTACTTTCAATAATCATTTAAAAGTAACATGGTGATAAATTTTATAGTATACGCGTGTCTAGTTTTGATGTTCGGATGTTTTCGCAGAGCGTCACGGAAAATCAATTTACAAAGGTTAGTTGCTTCTTTTATTTCTCACATTACTTCAATTATCCACTGTTCCTGTGACAGTCAGCTGCATTTGTGGTTTATTCTGTTGCAGATGAGAATATACAGCAAACAACGCTATAACAGGCCCGAGTTCTATCCACTTTTCAGAGAAAACGAGGTAGCGAAAGTTAAAAATAATTCAGCAAAAATTCGTAACGCCCTCGAAAACAATCAATTCTCCGTCCCAATGCATATCACACTAGACAATAGTGCGTCATAATTCGTACTTAGAAAGCATTTAATGTGCTTGACACAAAATGTACAAGTACACAAATGTAAGAGTATTGTATAGAATAATATAAAGTTACTATAATACAAATAATATCTTAAGCATTACACGAGCTGTGCGACTTATAAATTTTCTTTCATATTTAGGCATGGATATTATAAATACAATGTATAAAAATATATATGTATGTACTAAAGTCTCACAATATCTTTAAAAGTCCATGTTCAAAGTACAGTAAAAATATGATGTTACTAGTGTGTTTATTGCAACTGATCGTTAACAAACGCAATTGTGTTAGAAATAGTCATGAGAAGTGACTTACTGGATGTCTATTACAGATTGTCGATGAAAAATCTCCGATATCGTATCTACACTTTATGACTTCTAATCGATTTTACTTGTTTAATGAGAAACAGAAAGAAATGTATTGTTATCAGTGGTGTGATTTTTTATGACGTATTATATGTATTTGTTAATCGTGTTGAAGAATCCATCATTTGGCTGACCAATTGTGAACCAGATTAAATAATCTGATCGATAATCAAGATTGTTACCATTTCAATATACCTTTTAACAAAGGGACAGGATTAAATCATCCAGATACTTTGTGGACGATACTGCAGGCTTAAGTGAATTGCAAGAGTGGATCAAAACTTCTTACTTCTTTAAAAACTTCTTTTAAAACAATAATGGACACTTGGACGACCAAAGCTGGATACTCCGTCGTGTCAGTCGCGATCAACGATGGAGGTCTACTGCACGTTATTCAGGAAAAATTTTTCTTGAAGAACTTGAACAAAACCTCAACAGATATCACATTTGGCGGTACCACAAAGAAATTACACAAATAAAATGATAATGGTGTGTCAATCGGATGTACAATTGTCGACCATTTCAGAGAATACTATCCAATTATCGTGCAGTCGTTCATTGCATAGCCATAAAAAGCGACATTACACAATTTACTTATAATTTTCTTCAGATGAAATGCGAAAAAAGCAACGTCATGGCAGACAAACTCGTGATTCTCAGCTCAATGGCGTGTTTTCAGAACAAAGATATTTTAGAAAAGTAAGCGTACTTAATGATGTTCAGCATTTATCGTCTGGTATTGAATTGCCATCAAGCAGAATTGAAAACTAAAGCAGTACTTAAAAATGTAACGACACTTTCCTTATTAAATGTCGATATAAGCTTTCGATTGAGCCCTCGTTTACAAAAACCGATATTACCGATGTCGAGAATTAGAAATCTGCAATCCGCAAATGCAAAAATTCTCTCAGCTCAAAAATTCTTTCAGTTCCTCCAATCACACATGATTATTAAGGTGCCTTCTACAACGCTTTTTGCGTTGCCATAACAGTATATAGGCTCGTACATACTAAAGTTATCTAAAGCTATCTAAAGATATCTAAAGTTATCTAAAGTTGTATAAATTTATCTAAAGTTGTGATTATTTGCAAACATTACAAGTGGATACAGTTTGTTTATTTCCAACTTGTGCACTATGTGACACTCTGAATAGTGCAATGTTAAATCGTATTTTTTCAAATGAAATACAACTCGTAGCTCAAGACATCACAGATTGTGCATCATATTTAAAAATAAAAGTTTCAAAAATATTAGATAAATGTGATGAAGACAGTTCTCGAACAGTTGGATTAGCGAAGATCATAACGATAAAACTAGGAGCTTATATAATGATTAGAAGGAATATTTATGTTACTTTAGGTCTTGTAAATGATACGATAGCTACAATTCCTTCGATTATACGAACAAGTAATAATGATGACGTAAAGAAAGTAAAAATTATGTTATTATCGGGAGTCGAGCATACTATTGGACGCTTAAGCGTTAAATTTCAACTAATGAACAGAGCATTTGTTATAAGGAAACAATTTCCGATTTGCCTAAGTTACGGTATGGCTATTCACAAAAGTCAAGGATTGAGTTTACAAGCCGTGGTGGAAACTAGAAATTCTATAATTACTTGTGGACTAATATATGTTGCTTTTTCACGAGTAACTACATTAAGTAGATTGTACATTATAAATTACGATCCTTCATCTGTAAAATTAAATGAATTGTCAATAATAGAATATAACCGATTACGAAAACAGTACAGACCAAACCTTACACATATTACTACTTTGAAACAATATCTTCAAAAAGTGCATGATATAATTTGGGCAGCACCAAAAGATGATTTAGAGTGTCAAATTAATTAAAATAATGATATTATTGATTATAATTTGTGGTGTATAAGATGATTTTTGAATAACGATAGTATATCATGCTACGCAAATATTACGATTCAATGTATATTTCATTCTTCCATTTTCCGGAGAGTGTTGCTTTGTCTTGAATATTCAAATGATATGTGAAAGTTAATTGATCCTTATGCTTTAAATTGTAAAATATTCAATACGATTTCAGTGAGTAAATTAGCGGGTAATCAATATTTTAAAAATATTCAACAAGATCCTGGTAAATTTATTGAACATTATATTAATAAAATAAATAGCATGAAAAATGCAATTGAATACTAATTATGTGTAACTACACGATATAAATAATGTGAATACACAAACATAGAAATTCAAACAAGTCACATTCTACCACATCGATTGCCAGACAATTTAAGTAAGTCATATATTTTTCAATTAAGTAAGTCATTTATTTCTATTAGTTCAAAATACGCTGTCTTTTCATTTGTTAATTGTATATGTTTTATTTATAGAGGAATACGAATAAAGCACGCATTAAGTGTGATTATCAATAATATGTATTCCAAGCAAAAACGTAACCAGATACATAAATGCATGTTATACTTAGGTTTATCTCTCTTAGAAATAGACTTAGAATATTTCTCGGAGAGTGTAATTTATTTATTGTATAATATATTTACTTACTTGCAATATACATGAAAATTATTTATTTCAGGTAAACGAATTCGTGAAAAATAGTTACAAAAAGAACGAAGAGCTAGTTAAATATGTTCAAGAATAAATAGACGAGTGTCTCGATAAACTATTAGGAATATATTACAAATTTATAAAGACTACAATCGGAAATTGTTAAAAATAAAATCAGAGAGATCGCGATCAATCCAAGACAACAATAGCAATGCAAAGGACTCCGCAGAATCCTTATGGGAAATGGCTTTCGGCTAATTTTTTTTTAAATTTGATATGTTGTAGTTCTCAACACGTAGAACAAAAATGTCCATGGCCCCAAGGTCCGATCACGGGTAGTTTTCGAGATACAGCACTCCAAAGTGTGTGTGTGTGTGTGTGTGTGTGTCAGGAGAGATAAGGACCCCACGGTTCGTCACTCCCGCAGTATTTTGTGACTCCAAACCCTCTCTACTATGTGTGTGTGTGTGTGTGTGTGTGTGTGTGTGGTGTGCGCGCGCACATTATTCATCAATAATCTCAATATTCCGAGGATTATCTGGAAGTTCTCGGTCTGCGGCATCCAATGTGGTATTGAGCAATGACATGTCAGGGTATTTAATATTTCCCTGATGTCGTGCAAAACCTAGATACCACAAAACGTTGGCAACGTGTGCACATGTACCTAGAATACGAGCTCCAGACTGACACGTACAATAATATCCATTAATTGGCTCATTAGGATTATCAGCAGCATTCTCATCATTCCTATTATCGATAAAATGAAAGTATGAAATGAAGATCTGATGTCTTGTTGCATTACGAAATCTGGAATACAATCTAATTCACAGAAAACCTGGCTCGTTGAAATGTTGATCAAGTTGAAATTCCTCATCATTATCCCTTAGTAGCTTATCTTGAATATATGAAGGTGCTAGATTTATTGTTAAATGCCTACAGTCAAATCCAAAATGCAGATCCTCAACTTGCTAGAAAAATGCTACAGAGATCGACAACTCCTAATGTCGTACAAGCGAGAGTAGAGGTAGATAACTTGCGACTAAGAAATAGCCAATGGAGACGGCTCAATTATCGTGACGTGGCAGATTTCTCTATACTTGATTTGAATTACCTGAAAGATTTGACTGTGGGTATTTATCATATAAATCTAGCACCTTCATATATCCAAGATAAGCTATTAAGGGATAATGATGAGGAATTTCAACTTGATCAACATTTCAACGAGCCAGGTTTTTTGAGAATTAGGTTGTATTCCAGATTTCGTAATGCAACAAGACATCAGATCTTCATTTCATACGAGATCGATAATAGGGATGATGAGAATGCTGCTGACAATTCTAATGAGCCAATTAATGGATATTATTGTACGTGTCAGTCTGGAGCTCATACTCTAGGTACATGTGCACACGTTTCCAACGTTCTGTGGTACTTAGGTTTTGCACGACATCAGGGAAATATCAAATACCTTGACACGTCATTGCTCAATATCACATTGAATGCCGCAGACCGAGAACTTCCAGATAATCTTCGGAATATTGAGATTATTGATGAATAATGTGCGCGCGCACACCACACACACACACACACACAGTAGAGAGGGTTTGGAGTCATAAAATACTGCGGGAGTGACGAACCGTGGGATTCTTATCTCTCCTGACACACACACACACACACACACATACACACACACACAAACTAACAAGCAAGCATCTGTACACTCACTTTAATCGTACATCGACATCGACTGCATCCGCACTACGCTGCAATAAGGTACGAAAAGTCCAACTTTGCAGTGCTGTATTTCGAAAACTACCCGTGATCGGACCTTGGAGCCATGGACACTTTTGTTCTACGTGTTGAGAACTACAACATATCAAATTTTTAAAAAAATTAGCCGAAAGCCATTTCCCATAAGGATTCTGCGGGGTCCTTTAATCTAAATTGTTAACTATTCTCAATATTCCTTTCAAAGTTTCGTGGATATTCAACTTCTTTCATATATGCAATAAATCATAAAATATTATTCCAAGCCGATACATATTCTTTCTTTTAAATGCTTTTTTTATCGTCGGCTGGCGAATCAACTGCCATTGTGATAATCGAGATCAGGATTCGTAGGCAAGAAATGGTTCCTACTATACAAAGTATGCGATTTCCTCGATTGAAGAGTTCCTTAAGTTCTTTTAAGAATAAGACAAGCGAGCGTGTATTTGAACTGTTACGAGCATATCATATGTTTATAAGAGTCACAAGCTGAGATCGACGACAAGCAAAATCGGAGAGATGGCGAATGATCAAAACAGAACAGTAGCAGTGCAAATATAGCTGTTTATCTAAATTGTCAGTTATCTTCAATATTCCTCTTGAAACAGTTGCTCTTAAAGTACAATAGATCATAAGTTGTAAGACTTGTATGACAGGTACTATGTTTTCAGAATGTAAACATTTTAGCACGTAAGTCGTATCGCGGGATATAATCGATAAGAACATTTGTTTTGCATACTTCCTCGAAATGATCTCTCTTCATTAGTATTAAACCTTCAAGCGCTGCCTGAATCATACCGTAGACGTTTATAAATGAAAAGTCGGGAATACTTCGACTAGAAGAATTGTCGGTGTCGTCGAAGAAAGACTCGTAAAACCTAATCAAGTAAGTACGCAGAAGAGAAATGTAATTCAACTGCGTACATTTGCTTGTATAATCAAGTTATGCTCACACAAAATTAATAAGTTGGAATCTAATAAAAAAACTTACTTTTACATATTGCTTTTAAACTACTAAGTTCTTAAAACAAAATTATAAATCGGCACACACACATACACACAATATAAGATTAACTTGGAATTGGATAAAGCACGGATGAAGGACGAAACGTCGTCCTTGTTCCTACGATACGAAAAAGCACAAACGCACAACTCATACGAATCTCACGTCGACACATTTCTAATTGATTGGCTAACTTATTACGATAATAGGAGCTTGACGTCTAACCGAAGCCACTTCCATTTTGCGAAACGATTACTATCTCTTCAGGCGGAAATTATGTAAGATCAAACGCAGCCTTGAACTTTAATAATCTGTTACTATTGCTTAATGTCTAATTCGTTTCCTTGACATTACCACACAACGGACGTTTTGACGTTGGTGGCACGTGCCTATCGACGTTACATTTATTGTGGCACTCAGACAACTAATCGTCAAGTTATCGACAAATTCCATACAATTGGCGCTAAAACAACAAAAGTTGAAAGACTACGGTACGCAGAATTCGCTCGCGGTCGAAGAGTCAGGTGAATCCAAGCTCGCTTACGAACGCTATATCAAGAGAAACCCGTTAATCCTGTACGTTTATGAACAATGGTTGTCAGAATGATTGTTAATAGCCTTGTCTCTAAGTGAAACACGAAATAGGTGGTGCTTTATCGTCTAATACCCTTCAACCGACCTGCAATTATACAATACAAAACAAAGATTATCAGATCGAATAAACGTGCATTACTTACGTACGCAAGAATTCAACGTAAAAACGACAGCTGCCATTGGCAATGAGGCGACGAGTATATAGATACAGAAATATCAATTGGGAAACAATCATTTCGACAAAGGTTAATTCCTCCGTGGATTTCAAATACGTTATGACGTCAAAGCAAATCGACATCCCTAAAAGTATAGAGATATAATTGATGCCTCTTTTTCGCCTCTTTATCTGTATACAGAAGATTATTTCGCCATAATAAGCGCACACAATACCGATTGAGATAATATAATTATCAATAACGCATCCGAACGCTCAATTATTTATACAGCAAAAAAATTTTGCATTTTCGTTAAAGTCGATCCATGAGAGATTTTTGTGTTAGAATTTTAACATACCGGTGTATCAATTTAACATGTTGTACATGTATTATTTTGACTATACTGCGTTGAATTTATATTCACCATTTCTAAGTGTGAAAATAACACAACAGTGCTCAGATATTACATTTTTGTGTTAATTTTCGACTTATTATTTATGCTACTTGTTTACATATTTGCCTCATGTTAAATTAGTGTGAAAAGTAAATAAATTGATAAAATGTATTAAATTTAACTCACAATTTTTTTCACAATGTAAAGATATAGAATTCTTTAAATTATAATATACGTCATATAATGCATCAAAGTTCATCTTTCTTTAAACTCCGTATGCATCATGACCTTAGAACTCTGATACTTAGAATGCTCTGGTTCTTTGAATGCTGACGTGTTATATAGTTTTTCACTAAAATAAAATAATCTATATTAAAAATTTATACCGACTTTCGATGTATATTTAATTTTTTGTGACAGTATTTTATTGACACGATTAACGAAAGTGATTTAGTAATAACCGTGGATTAAATAATTCAGAGAAGTAGTTGTTAATCTTAAAGTAATCTCGAGATAAGTTTTTGTTTTCTTTTTATGATACGATTACACGGAAAAAGCAATATGGATGGCCCAGACATAATAAATCTGGTTATGCTAAGCAGATTTATTAGGTTGGCATAAGCAGATTTAAGGGTAGGTTATTTATGTTTCTTCTCTGTATCTTCTCTGTTTCTTCTCTGTTTCTTCTCTGTTTCTTCTCTGTATCTTTTTTCATAGCGTATCCTGCTTAAATCGTCATATGAAGCCTCATTTGCTATGTCTTTCCAGCAAATAATAGCGCTCTACTACTGCTTCCGATATGTTTCGCCACCGTTATCTCAGTAACAGCAATAGTTTACACATATGCCGCGCTTAAACAAACAGCAGTTCTGCTGACTCGCAAGACTATCACAGATGAAAGGATTTTTTCTGAAGATTTCTGAGCCGCATACATGACATATAAACAGCTATGTATAACATTCCGACATTGTCGTATGCAAAAGGAGAGGATTACATCGCGTCAGCCTCATGATAGTCAGTACGGTATAACGCGGAAATTTTGTATAATTACAACTCAATCATCGCGCTATGGCGATCATCAAGAAATTAATGACGGCAGCACTGCTCATTGTCGCAGTGCAGAGTTTAGGGCGTCAAGTTTACAAACCGACAGACGAAGATTTTTTTCTACTGCCGCAGCAGATTGTGCCCGTTCATTACAATATACGATTAATACCACACATCGTAGAAGGTAACTTCACTACCAACGGCGAAACAAGCATTGATGTGAAGGTGCTTGAGCCGACTGACGTCGTTGTGTTGCACATCATGGAGCTTACGATAGACGAATCGCAAACGAGGATGACTTGCAAAGACGAACATGCACTGTATTACGTCCCAAAGCGACATGACTACAATAATAGATCAGAAATTTTAACTCTGCAATTCGACAAGCCCTTGGACATCGGCGTGTACACGCTATACCTGAAATTCATGGGTGTGATCTCATCCTTGAATCATGGACTCTACAGGAGCTTTTACATTGATAACGAAGGCAACAAAGTGTAAGTAATTATTGCAAAAAAATATAATAACAGACAATAGATCGTGCTACAGCTTATGCTAGGAATATGAAGATCGTGCTAGGAATATGAAGAGATAACGCAGATACGATATCAAAGAGATTCTGCGAGATTCTGCAAGAAGTGAAAACACGAAGTGTTTACTATTCAACACGATACGAAGGCGATGATTTCTCTCCAGTTCGTCGTTGTTTTCGTATTTTTGTATCTGCGCGCGCGATGTAAAATCGTAAAATATACATCTACGGCCTTATTACAGACAACGTAGGAGGATTCGCGTTCATGATAACGCTTACGAAAAATTATAGAATATCGAGTGATTAATCGCTCTTGCTACGCACCGCCTACATTCAACTCGCTCGATTGCCCTCGATTATTGCATTACATAGTAAACGTTTACGCGACCTGTTGCTTCCTCACGATAGGTGCGCAATCGCCATAGCACGACGAGATGTCGTAGCAACATTCATGCATCTAATGTGAGCTATAATCAATTTACAGGTGGTTGGCAGTAACGCGTTTCCAACCGGTCCACGCACGACAGGCGTTTCCGTGTTGGGACGAGCCTGCCATGAAAGCAACCTTTAAATTATCCATAAAGCATTATCCCAATTATACTGCCTTGTCAAACATGCCGTCCTCCCGGTCGCAAGTCGATGAGACGGACGGAAAAGTGTGGACCCGCTTTGAGACGACGCCTGTGATGCCCACCAACGTGCTGGGCTTCGTAATCGCCGATTATGATCATATCTCGAATTTGGATGACACCATGAGAATATGGAGTCCGAAGCACTTACTTCATCTCGCCGCGTTTCCCCTCGATATCGCCGAAAAAGCGACGCACGAACTCGAAAAATTCACAAATAGTAGCATACCTGTCCCGAAAATGGATCATGTGGTTGCACCTCATTATTCAAGCATAGCCACCGAGAACTGGGGTATGATCGTTTACAGGTGAGTACTCGCAGTCTCTCCCTTATTCGGGAGTATTAATAATCATCTCGGTGATTACGATCGTAAGTACAGCACGAGATTTCCTTCAACAATTATTTTATAATTGCACAATGCATGATATATTTAAACAAAATATACAAAAGAGTAAAAGTAAATAACACAATAAAACAGAGAATAATTATAATCTTTACATAGCTTTGAACTAAGGAATAAATAAAACAGCTTGTTACAAGCCAACTGCTGTTGGTTGTGAGCACAAATTTTTATTGTGGAGAACTATAAACACTTATAAGAGAAAGAGAGATTTTATATATCTAGAAAGTTTTGGTCTTTGCTTTAAATAATTTTTAGGCTAAGCAAAAGAAATCATAATATTGTCAAGAAACTAGAGAACGGAAACACGAAAAATAATGTCAAAGTGCAGGACCAGATAATAATAAGGAAACGTAGAGAAGTTATTGTATCCGTTCTAATAATTTTCAGGTTAAATACGCTATTATATGACGACAACACTCCCTTTGCAACAAAGATCAATAGCAACGTAAATCCGATCGATTTCAAACGCTTTAACGTCATGACAATCACTCACGAGCTGGCACATCAGTGGTTCGGCAATCTAGTCAGTCCGACTTGGTGGAATTATCTTTGGCTGAGCGAGGGAATATCGACTTACCTTGAGTTCTACATTACTGACAAGGTATCGGAACAGATCATATAATTCAGATTCGGACGTCACGCTTATTGATAATTACATTCCTACTTTATTTTTCTTTTTACGATGTCTATGTTTTCAGTTTCTCAACGAGTGGCGGCTAATGGATTTCTTTGTGGTGGAGGGTGTACAGGCAACGTTAGATAGAGATGTATCAATAACTGTACCAATTCATAGAAATATTACATCGGATATTCGAACAGCATATACTTACCTCACATACACGAAATGTAAGAAATACATATACATATTTGGTCTTATAATTTGGTCTTACGAGTCATCACACATATTTTATAGCTTGCGTCACGCAAACATAAAGATAATTAGAAGTTCTAGTTTTAATTTTTCAGCCGCTGTCTTATTGCGAATGATGTCGAACTTTTTAACGGAAGATGTGTTCCGAAACGGTTTGATAAAATATCTTCGAGCGAAGTTAGTATCTTACTTTCTTGACATGCCAATAATTTCCGAGCAAATTCGCGATCGTCACAGATTTGTTATTGTCTTACTCGTTTTTAGCGCATATGGCAATACCACGCCAGACGATCTATGGAAAGCAATGCAAAATGCACTCGACGAATCGGACGTGCCGCATGATGATTTTAACGTGAAGGAAGTGATGGACGCTTGGTTTGAACAGCCGAATTATCCCATAGTAACGATCAAACGTGATTACACGAATGGCGATATCAAAGCGACACAAAAAAAAGTTTACTCTAGAAACGAAAATAGCGAGAAATGGTGGATTCCTTTAAATTTCGCGACGCAAACCGACTTAAACTTTTCGTCAACACTGGCCACTCACTGGTTAAGACCTCAGGATGAGGCTGTAACAATCGAGGGAGTGGACGTAGACCATTGGATCATCGTGAATAAACAGTTAACGGGTAACGAGTACTCTCGTAATATAAATGAATAAATAATTCGTGCAAAGCTCAATTATGGGAAATATCGTATTGGTTCTTATAGCTTCATGACAGATTAGTTTGAACATTCTTTGATGATCTATCTTCCACGAAGATATATCAACGCAATCGCGTTGTATCTAACAGGTCTTTACCGTGTAAATTACGATCTCACCAATTGGAAACGGATCGCTGCATTTCTCAATTCTGACGATTACGTCAAGATTCCCGCTTTGAACCGCGCCCAGATCATCAATGACGCTTCCTTCCTGATGATAAGCCGCCAGCTCGACGTCATCACTTTTCTCGAAATCACCAATTACTTATCGCGCGAGATCGACTGTATCGTGTGGCAGCCGGTATTAAAAATTCTTCAAACTATTGATACCTATTTTCAAGTACCCGAATCGGCAGCGATCGTTAGGGTAAGATTTTATTTTCTGGTAAATGTAGCTCAAATGAGTTATCTCAAATCGTTTAACTTGCAAATTATTACCCATTGTAAAATGTTTCTTTCAAGCCGTTCGTCTTCAATCTGACGCGTAAGATACTTGAGAAGATCGGTTTCGACGATCGTTCTGGTGACGATCTTTCCACTTTAAGGACTAGATTCTACCTCGGTCAGTTTGTCTGTAAGTATGGACATGCAGAATGTCAAGCAAAAGCTACCGCCAAGGTACTCGCATACGTGGAAGATCCAATTGCGAATAAGTAAGTTCTACTGAAACTATATATACGCCTGAAAAAAATGTTTGCGTTAATTATCAATTTTGCAATATTTACTTTTTACATTTCTAGTACATTATTCATCTTAGATTATTGGATTATTAAATTAACATTTATATATTTTAAACTGAAACAATCACTCACTGATCGGGACGATAGTGGGAATTACTTTTCCGAGAAATCACTTATTCGAGATATTAATAAAGTTCATCACCATCTCGTTTCAAAGTACTACATTAGCGCATCATGTCTTTTTCAATGCATGATACTCGATTAATTAATTTTGTGTTAGAATCCCACGAAATCAACAATGGATCTTATGCTTTGGTTTGATGAAAGTAAACGATACTGTCTGGGACAAATTTCTGCAAGTGCAAAATTTGACATTGGAATATCATCTGACATTTCTCGGTTGTACGGAGAATATGAACATTGTCGAGAAGCACATAAATTATATCAACACTAGCGAATATGATTCTTCGCAGAAACAAGTGCATTATGAACATATCGCTCTCAACATATTAAAAAATCCATCCAATATCGATCGAGCAATTGATTACTTTATTAATAATTCGGACAGATTGAACGACTTGTAAGTAAACTTTTTTCTCTTTATCGCGCGGTGTTAAATATAAATACTTATAAATATTTAAAAATAATTTCTCTTTTATATTGATTCTCAGAGATATTTTCCTAAAAACCTCTAAACTTAAAACCTCTAATTAATATTACTTTCAATAATCATTTAAAAGTAACGTGGTGATAAATGTTACAGTATACGCGTGTCTAGTTTTGATGTTCGGATGTTTTTGCAGAGCGTCACGGAAAATCAATTTACAAAGGTTAGTTGCTTCTTTTATTTCTCACATTACTTCAATTATCCACTGTTCCTGTGACAGTCAGCTGCATTTGTGGTTTATTCTGTTGCAGATGAGAATATACAGCAAACAACGCTATAACAGGCCCGAGTTCTATCCACTTTTCAGAGAAAACGAGGTAGCGAAAGTTAAAAATAATTCAGCAAAAATTCGTAACGCCCTCGAAAACAATCAATTCTCCGTCCCAATGCATATCACACTAGACAATAGTGCGTCATAATTCGTACTTAGAAAGCATTTAATGTGCTTGACACAAAATGTACAAGTACACAAATGTAAGATATCGTATAGAATAATATAAAGTTACTATAATACAAATAATATCTTAAGCATTACACGAGCTGCGCGACTTATAAATTTTCTTTCATATTTAGGCATGGATATTATAAATACAATGTATAAAAATATATATGTATGTACTAAAGTCTCACAATATCTTTAAAAGTCCATGTTCAAAGTACAATAAAAATATGATGTTACTAGTGTGTTTGTTGCAACTGATCATTAAGAAACGCAAATATGATTGAAATAGCCATGACAAATGACTTACTGGGTATGTATTACAGATTGTCGGTAAAAACGTCTCCGATATCGTATATATACTTTATGACTTTCAATCTTTACTTGTTTGGATGAGAAACGGAAAGAAATGTGTTGTTATCATTGATGTGATTTATGATAACGTATTATATATATTTGTTAATCATGTTGAAGAATCCATCATTTGGCTGATTAATTGCGAACTAGATTAGATAAGACCGGTCTATAAAATAATATCAGTATGATATCAGCATCATCTTAAGGATCTGCGCACAAAACATTTGGAAACGATCAATATGAAATTTCGCGTTTATTTGCTTTAACTGCCACTATATTTAACTCATTACTCCTTTATTATAGATATTATTAGAGGTATATTTAATTATTAGATTACAATAAAACAAATTACATATTTTGTATGAGCAGAGATAATGTGACTTTATTAAAAAGTTGATGACGTCGCTGCCTTGGCTCGTGATAAGATAATCTTTGTGATATTGTAAGAAATATCAATACACAGAAAGAAAGTCAGAACGCATTTAGCAATTAGTCGTTCGACAGATTCCATCAAAAAGGTCTATTATATATCGCGAAACGTGTTTCCGAAAAGCCCGAACAGGTGATATGTGTTCGTCGTGAGTCTGTGAGAAAATTATTGTACCGTATTACTTTTGTAGCATATTAATACAAGTGAGACGATTATTCCAAAACACGTTGTTGCACTTTCTACTAGTTTCAGTTTGTGCGTTAATAATTATCAAGATCTTCACCTACGTGAATAGAAGATAGCCATGAATGAACGACGATAATAAATGCAATCAAAGGTCACTATGTTTAATGAGAGTAAGTACAATCGTTTATGAGCAGCAAGAATGTTTTAATATGAGTTCTTCTGTTTTCTAAATATCATGGAAGAGGTTACTTCCACAATTATTATAATTATGATAAGCTGATATTACTTGGATAACCAAATCCTTTACCGAGAAATATTTTTACCTCTTCATCAAATATTATCTCTTTAAATAGTAAACAATTAAGACAAATAGCAGGACATATTTATATTATATGCTAATTTTAGGAACTCGATTTAACGCAGTTACTTATACGAAGTAACTAATTAATTGTTTGCGATTTATTTATTATATTTATTTATGACAATATATTCTTAACGTAGTTTGGGATCCAACCAAGATTACGCAATTGTCTTTTGCAATGAAGATCTTTCGGAAACATATATTGCTTTGTGCTCTGATCATATTACTCAGCGGAAATGCGGCGGGAGAATTTTCCCCTCACAGAGGTAATTTTACTTGCATATCTGAAATTTCATAATTTTCATTTTTATATGTTAAGATATGCCTATCTAAAAGTAGCGTGATAAGATATATCAAATCGTATTCACACTTTCAACATTTTCTGTTGATATAAATTTATGCTGCATTAAATGCAGCATAAATTGCATAATGAACTTGATTAATAGTGAAAGCCGAAAAACAAATAATGTAATTCTTTCGAAATTCTATTTATTCAGATGTATTTGCACAAAAAGCATACCTCTCGCGAGACGACGAATCCGTCGACTACCGATTACCGAAGTCCGTTCGACCTATTTCGTACGAGATCATGTTCATGCCGAAACTACAAAACTTTAAGTTCGAAGGCATCGAGAAAATTGTCGCTGTGGTAGAACAAGAGACTGACACAATCACGTTGCACGTAGGCAACATCCAAATCAATTCGCAATCCGTTATTATAAATCAGACCAATATATACGAGTCAATGAACTACGACAAAGTCACTGAAAAGCACACCATTATTCTCTCCGAGACTCTCAAAAAGGGATCTGAGATATTAATTACTTTTAGTTTCCACGGAAACTTGCGCGACGACATGATCGGATTTTACAAAAGTTCTTACTTCGACGAAGATGGACAGATCAAGTAAGTCAGGATTAATTTAGGATATCGTTCAACCAAACACGTTAATAAATAGATAACGATCCTTGATAAGTAGTACAAAGTCTTAAGATAAAAGTACCAATGCCTGGACATATACCTAACATATTTAATTCTGGACATGCTTGTTATTTTAGTTTCAAAATATTGAAATATTCAAACTTTCAATATAGAATATACATATATTGAATATATATACAAATATTTTATGTTTGAAGATTAAAGATTAATGATTAAAAATTCGTATTTAAAGTTGATATATTTAAAATCAAAACAACAAGAATGTCCAAAATGAAGTACATGCTTGGCCCAGGTACATTGGTACTTTTACCTTATAACGCGTTTTTGACTCGAAACCGCAGATGGTTAGCCACGACGCAATTCCAAGCGACACACGCCAGACATGCCTTCCCGTGTTTCGACGAACCGAGTTTCAAGGCGATCTTTACAATTCGCATATTGAGGGACGAGAGTTATACGAGCCTCAGCAATATGCCGCTGGCCGAAATAAACGAGCCAAAGTGAGTATCAGCATGATACATTCGCTTGACCAAACAATCCGTTCTGTTTCAACATTTGTTCAACGCTCCTAATTCGTGCTCTTTCAAGGAACGGCGTAGTATGGGACAACTTCAATCAGACTATTCCCATGTCCACCTTCTTAGTAGCATTCGTCATTTCGGAATTTCACCATCTCGAGCAAGGTCAATTCAAAGTATGGGCCAGACCGAATGCCATCAATCAAGCCCATTACGCCTTGAAAATCGGCACCACCGTCCTCGAATTGCTCGGTGATGCGTTTGGGCAAAACTATCAGCTTCCCAAGATGGATATGATAGCTATACCTGACTTCGCGGCTGGTGCCATGGAAAACTGGGGTCTGGTGACATATCGCGAGGTTCAGATGCTGTATGTTGAAGAAGAATCGTCGGTGATCGCACAGCAAATCGTAGCATCCGCTATCGTTCATGAACTCTCGCATATGTGGTTTGGGAACCTGGTGACGCCTGAATGGTGGGGGTATCTGTGGCTCAGCGAAGCGTTCGCCAAGTACTTCCAGTACTTCGTTACCGCAGATGTAAGAGCGAATCTTGAAACGATTGCCTTTGAAACCTCGCTTCAGTCAAATTAAGTTAAACAATTCCGGATCCAGATGCAATTGCCGTAGATTGTACTCGTTGTTGATGGAAATTAATAATCAACTCCCTTTGATATGTCACGATACGTGACGATAATAGAAATGGAGGAAAATAGTTTGCCTCGATATCTGCCGAAGTCGATTCAATAATCCTCCTTTTGTCTTCTCAACACGTAGGTCGAAGTGTCGTGGAACATGAAGGAGCAGTTCGTGGTGGACGAGCATCAAGCTGCTTTGATAGCGGATAGTTTTGAGTCTTCTCAGCCGATGACTCGGAAGGTTTCCAGCCAATCGCAAATCGGAGGAATGGGCGACACCATCACCTATTCAAAGGGTGCCAGCATCGTTCGCATGATGAATTTCATCTTCGGAAACAATGCCTTCAAATCCGCATTACGCGACTACTTGAGTAAAAAGTACATATCACATGTGAAATCTAATAAGACGCAAATTTACTTTCACAAAGACATAATGACTTTCGGCTTTTGAGTTGTGGTAACACTTAAAAATGAATATAAAATTTGCGACAGAAAAAAAAATAAACTCAGTTAATACCGCGATATCGTTATTGATATTGATTAATGCACCACTAATCTGTACTTACAATCTATCGATGTTATATTCAAATGTCAGTGTCCTTCTTCTCGATGCTCGACAATCAAGATTGTTACCATTGCAATGTACATTTTAGCAAAGGGACAGGATTAGGTAATCCAGATGCTTTGTGGACGGTACTGCAGACTCAAGTGAATCGCAACGGTGCATCAAAGCGCACTTCTGTGAAAACAATAATGGACACTTGGACGACCAAAGCTGGATACCCCGTCGTGTCTGTCGCGATCAACGACGAAGGTGTACTGCACGTTACTCAGGAACGATTTTTCTTAAGGAACTTGAACAAAACCTCAACAGATATCACCTGGTGGGTGCCTCTCACCTGGACCTCGCAGAGCAAATCGAATTTCGATAATACGACTACTAAATACTGGTTGAGTACCAAAGAGGACACCTTAGATCTTCAAGTCGATCCGAAAGAATGGGTGATATTCAACGTTCAATCATCGGGTTAGTAACAGATAATGTTTAATTTGCATAGATAAAATGCAAAAAATGTATACTAATTAAGTAATAACGAAAACAATGTTATACCTGTAGAATAAACTCAGATAAGATGGCCATACTCTTTTAAAATGCAAAAAATATATATTTCTTATTGTTATTTCTTAATAGCGTTTGGCACATTACTTTACTAAAACCTACAGTACATAATACCATCAGAGTTAAAAGGAAAATACTTCAGTGAAATTATTTATTATAAAAATATCAAAACATGAGCATTGATCATCCTACCTAAATTTTTAAGACAGGGTGGCTATAAAGAATAGATAACCTATACATATTTTATGTTCAAAATTCTATACTTATTATTTTATAAAATAATGAAAAAAACATAATTTGATATATTCATTTTAGTATAGGATATTTAATACGTATTATTTGTGAAAAATATAATACACATATAAAATAGAAACCTCTATCACAAAACTTAAATTTTAAATCCAATTTTTTATCAAAATATATTGCACATAAGATTTAAGTACTGTAAAATTGAAAGTAATTTGAAATATAACGACTTTCGTTTTATAAATGTTAGAATGATAGTGGTCCATCTTATCTAAAATGTGAGTGAAAGACGGTTATAATAGTATTATAAACAAATAGTAAAAACGAAAATAAAAATGCATGTTGTATTACAATTTACATACCTACTTTATGTATCTAACGTTCATTGCGATAGCTAACTATCATTTATTTGACGTTACAGCAAGTTTTAGTGGACACATAAGAAATTTTACAAGTAGTCGAAAATAAAAATATAGTATAATATTTATAATCTTGCTATTTCGAAAAATGTACGCACATACACTACGATAAATACTGATTATCTTTGTGACCGATTATACAAACGCAATGTTTTGCAATTATTAGAGAAATTACAGCCTATGGCCATCTTTCCGGTATGGCCATAATACCTGAGTTTATCCTACACTGAGAAAAAGATACTTGAAAATTTATTTGTGTGATACAAAATTTATTTCCGTGAAATAAAGTATATTTCTGAGAAATAAAATTTGTTTCTGTGAAATCAATTTTTGTCCTATAAATAAATTTTTAAGAATTTTTTTCTCAATGTATGTGAACACTACTCAATAACTATAATATCTTATATCGTAGGTTTCTACCGCGTCAATTATAATCACGATGGATGGCAACGTATTTTCGATGTCTTGCACAGCGACAAATTCACTGACATCCATGTATTAAACAGAGCGGCACTCGTGGACGATCTGTTAAATCTGGGTAGAGCAGGGTATCAAGATTATGCGACTGTCTTAGAAGGAATAACGTATCTCAAACGGGAAACGAATTACTTGGCCTTCAGAGCAGGATTAAATGGCTTAAGTTATTTGAGCAAACGATTCAGTGGATACGAAGAGCATTCCTTATTCAAGGTTGGTTAATTACCGCGTTAAGACGCATGAAGCGAATCAACGAGGAAGATGAATGTAATTGCGATTGCATTATTTGTTATAGACTACTTTTCTTTGTGACTTATTTAGATTTGATAAATCCTTCACGAAAGTACTGAGATATCTGAAACCATTAAAAACTTTAGAAATATGAGCACGAAAAGTGTAACATGCGCGACAATGTAGGTCAACCCCCGCGTCTTCGGTCAGCCAACTACACAAGTTTAATTGTATGGTTTCAGCAATACGTGCTATCGCTCATCAATGACAGACGCGAACAATTAGGATACGAAGATCGCGCGGGCGATGACAGATTGACAGTCCTGTTGCGACGCGACTTGAACATCTGGGCCTGCAATTTCAACGACGTAGAATGTGTGACGACTTACACTAACAAATTTCAAAAGTGGAAAGCAAATCGCTCCATCCCGTAAGCATATGTAAACAATTATACTTGCTCGTTTAAACTACGCAGGCTGACTTTACGCGCGCGCGCGCGCGTACTGTGGACTTTTTAATTTTAAATACTCTTTAGTTAGTTTAAAATGCATTTATTTTTCAGTTCGAATTTTGATAATAAATGACGATTCTTAAATTATCTTGATAATTCAACTAACGACGAGTTGCTTAATATTCGACAGCATCAAGCCCAACGAAAGGACTGCGGCGTACTGCGTGGGCATCAGAAACGGCACATCCGAAGACTGGGAATTTTTGTGGAAACAGTATTTCAATTCTAATTACGCGTCCAAACAAATAGAAATCATCAATGCTCTTGGATGCAGTTTAAATACTACCATCTTAGAAAAGTAAGAATGGACAAGTCGTATACATTTCCTTCCATCAAATTATTGGCAATTGATGAAACGTCAATTATCAAACGATCATCATAAGTGTTACATAATATTTTATATTTATGATAATTATCATTGTTTGCACACAGGTACCTGAAATACGCCATCAGCGATTATCAGATCAATCGAATTCGCAAACAAGACAGTACAAGCGTTTTCGCCGCCGTTTATTCGAGCTTGATCGGCGCTGAATATATCCTCGACTTCGTAGACAAGCATTACAAAGAAATGGAGGAATAGTAAGTTCTGTTTGTCGCACAATGCGGCAACTGCTCCTCAGTGGTTATCGGGTAGATAAAATTTTTTCAGTCGATATGATAAACAATATAGAGTTAAGATCTTTTAAAGATCGTAAGATGTGATTAATTTCTCCGATTAAATTTACAAACTCATAATTTCCTCAGCTATGGAGGACTGAGTACAGTGGCAATGATCCTTGACGGGGCGTCGCAGCGTTTCTCCACGCGCAGACTGGTAGACAAATTTGAAGATTTCGTGAACAGACATAAGACTGAATTTGCGCCAATCCTGGAATCTCTGCTGGCCTCTTTGAGAGTCGCCAGATACGAATTGGAATGGTACAAGACCGCTTCAGTACCTATTATTCGATGGATACAAGACGACCTTAAGAAAGATGTAACAACCAAACCAACAATAACAACAACGACAACGACAACGATGACGACGACGACGACGACAACACCTCCGTCCGAGGATATAGCAAAATATCGCCTACCTGCGAAAATAATCCCCTACAACTACATCATCACCCTTACGCCGAAGTTGAAGGACGAAAAGTTTACTTTCGACGGAAACGTGGAGATCAATGTCGATGTTGTGGAACAGACGGACTTGATCGTTTTGCATTCCGTGGTATTGGAGCTTCACTCAGTAATCGTGAAAGATCAGGATGATATCATAGTGGAAAGTTACCAGACAGTGGAAAAATACGACTTCCTCGAGATCAAGCTCGTTCGGAGAGTGGACGCTGGCACGAAACTGACCATCGAAATCGCGTACAAAAGCGCTTTGGCATCAGATCTCCGTGGCTTTTACAAAAGCTCTTACGTGAATAACGATGGATCGTTGAGGTAACATGTCCAGCTTATTACTGGTAACAAAACTAAACAAAATTTAACTCATTATCAGTTAATTTATCAATATCTCTATTAATTCATTCATTTATTCTTACTTAATCAGTAATATTTACTTCAAGATGCAACTCATGCATTCGATTGTAAATTGTGATACATTTGATTGATGTAACAGTTGGCTCGCCGCCACACAACTGGAGCCAGTTCACGCCAGGAAGATGTTCCCCTGCTTCGATGAACCAGCATTAAAGGCAACCTTTACTATCAAAGTATGCACAGAGAAAGAAGTTTACGCTATCAGTAACATGAAAGTCTCGGAAATCAAACACAAGTACGTGTAAAGATTCTTTGGATTGTAATTTCTCAAGATTATAGTTCTACTTAAATGACTCTCGGTGAATAGTTGCAGCTCTGATTATCCTTCTGGTACCGTTTTCTCCGAGTCAGTGAAGATGTCTACGTACTTAGTGGCGCTTGTTGTTTCCAACTTCAAGTCCACGAAAAAAGTCGAGGATAAATTTGCTGTATACGCGCGTCCCAACGCTATTGATCAAGCCGAATACGCTCTGTCCGTAATATCTCCACTCGTTAAGTTCTTTGAGAAAAATCTCAATCAGAATTACCAAATTAACAAACTCGATATGGTCGCGCTGCCGGACTTCGAGATGGGCGCGATGGAAAACTGGGGCCTCTTGACGTATAGGGAGGCGAGACTGTTGTACCACAAAGATCATTCATCAATCACAAGCAAGCAGGCTATCAGGAACGTGATCGCCCATGAGATTGCTCATCAATGGTTTGGAAATTTGGTCAGCCCTTCATGGTGGAAGTACGTGTGGTTGAGCGAGGGATTCGGTAGATACTTTCAGTATCACGCCACGGCTATCGTACGTAATTAAAATTAAAATTAAATTCGCCCCGCTAATGTTACAATTACATAGAATTATACAAAAATTACTTTATGCATAATTCAGTATGGAAAGAGATAAAACTTCGTAATTCAAAAAATAAACAGCATTCATCTTCAAAGAGACTCTTATCTTGGTTCTATATCTCCAAATAGGCATCGGGATAAAAATTTTATTTTATTTAACGAATGTTTAAAAAAAACGATAAGAATTGCTTCGAGCGATAAGAATATCGGCTGTGCATTAGGTGTTCAACGACACAACAATGGATTCGCAATTCGTGGTGGACCAAGTGCATTCTGCTTTTGTTGCGGACAGCTCCAGCTCTACACACCCCATGTCTCATGACGTGTACACGCCTGATGAGATTCAAAACATATTCGATACGATTTCTTATGCTAAAGCTGCCAGCGTACTGAGAATGATAGAAAAATCATTCGGACAAGAAGTATTCTACAACGCTTTGAGAGACTATCTTAACAAACAGTACGTTCGACATTAGTTTATCATGCGTACGGTGCAAACATTCCTCTTATCAATTTAATCAGTGAATAAGATCAAGACATCATTTTTTTCAAGCGGACATTAATCCAGCTTTTCCCTTCGTTCTTAGAAAATACAGCGTTTCTATTCCGCAAGATTTGTACGAGCAAATTCAGAAACAAATAGACCTGAAAGGACGAAAGGAGAATATCCAAGAGATCTTGGATACGTGGACGACTCAACCTGGTTATCCTGTCGTTCATGTCGACATTCAGGACGAAGTCATAACTTTTAAACAAGAACGTTTCTTCTTGAAAACAAAAGAGGGCTATTACGATGATAACATTTGGCACATCCCAATTACAATTGTGACCTTCTTTACGCCGGATTATAAAAATACCACACCGAGAGCATGGTTCACGGAAAAAGAAATGGAAATCAAATCTCCAGACTCGTTCTTCGATTCCAAAGTACTAATTATCAACGTGCAACAATCCGGTAATTAAACCGAATAAGGCAAATCCAAAATATTGAATATATTAAAGAGGATTTCCGACGTTTATTACGTTTGGTATCCAAAATATTGAATATATTACAGACAATTTCCGACGTTTAACAATCTCAGTGTGCTATCTTGTAACAAAAGTGTAAACTTGTTCTCCCAGGTTTTTATCGTGTGAATTACAACGAGGATCATTGGCTACTGTTGATTGCCATTCTCCAATATACAAGTAATAATATTATTGATGAGATCAACTGCGCGGCGTTAATTGATGATGTGATGAATCTCGCGAGAGCGAACTATGTCAATTACAAGATTGCTATATCAGCTACGCAGTATTTGACTAGAGAAAGGAATTATGCGCCGTGGCGCGCTTTCTACAACAATCTGCCTTACTTGAATAGACGTTTCCGGGGTCGTGATATGGATACCTTGTACAAAGTAGCTACATTATATATACATATGTGTATCATAATTATAACCTATTTATACATCTATTTTGTAACTAATATGTTAAATTAATATTCTAAATTTGCTGACCACGATATTCAGTTAAAAACTCCGTACTGAATTTTTTTATCTTCTTTATACGCTAAAATAATCCCATAGAAATGCTTCTATTGCCTTTTTTGTTACGAGATTTATTTTTTTCAGAAATACTTAGTATCACTGATAAATCCGCTTTACAACGAGCTCGGTTTTATGGATAAGGGGGACGATGAGATTAATTTAGTACGCACAAAGAATATGTTGAGAATGTACACTCGCGAATGGGCCTGCGAATTAGATATTGCAGATTGTAGATTCCAAGCCATGAGATATTTCCAACAGAAGCGTTACTATTTACAAGAGTAAGTCTAGTAGCAAATAAAAAGAATATGTATTCGTTTGTTAACAAATTAGAGACCGTAAAACTTGCAAGTCCGAAAAGTACACAAGCTTTGTGATGCTTATCCGAATAACCACGAAGAAATTACAAAAATAAAATGATAATGATGCGTCAATCGAATGTCTCAATTGTCGACTATTTCACAGAATACCGCCAAATTATCGTGGTGTCGTTTATTGCACGGCTATGGAAAGCGACGGGACATCATTTACTTACAACTTTCTTCAAATGGAATACAAAAAAAGCAATGTCATGGCAGACAAACTCGTGATCCTCAGCTCAATGACGTGTTCACAAAACAAGGATATTTTAGAAAAGTAAGTATGCTTAAGATGTCCAAAGCATTTATCATCTGGTATCGAATTGCCATTAAATATCATTATTTCATCAATCATAATTAATTATGATTACGTATGCATACGTATGTATGCGAGGAAGTTACAAAATGCAACTTATGTATCATAAGTTAATAGATGCAAGTTCGTATATACATGTATATCGTTTAAATGAAGGTTACTGTTGACCGCGATCGAGGAACATTCTCTTATACGACTCCAAGACAGCACAAAGGTATTCTCGGATGTCTACGACGCAGGCTTAATCGGCGTTGAAGTTGTCATGAACGTGATCATGAACGACACGAATTACAATAACATGAATAAACGGTAAGTAAGTGATTTTGCACGTGCAGAAATGAGAATTAAATAAGACGCAATTAAATTACGTAATGCATTATTTTCGACAGCTTTGGTTATGCGGGAATCAAAAATATAGTGAGCGCATTGGCGAGCAGATTGTCCACTTACGAATTATACGGGAAGGTAACTTATCACTGCTGCATATCTCGATTGATTTTATCCATCTCGCGTGAAATATTTAGTCAAAATTGCAAAAATATTGATATTAAATCTTCAAAGACTTTTTATGCAAGAGACAATGATTGTTTTTTCGAGAAAAATAAAAAAAGTATCATATGTATACATTCTATTAGATATTAAACATAAAATACAATCTTATATATTATACATAAAATTCCCAAAGTCAATCGACAATCATTACCCATATAGCATAAATTTCTAAAAGATTTTTTAAAGAGCTCCAAAAGAGTTCCCAAGTCCTTCAGAACACTTTTGGAATTCTTTAAGAAGTCTTTTAGAGATTTATGTTATATGTGCTATATTAACTTAACATTATCATATCGTAGTACCGGGAATTACTCGACTGGTTAGTCAACAAGGAACCGACATTTGAGAATGTAGTCGGGTTGTACGTGGCAGACGCGGAATACGAATTTGATTGGTACGAAAGGCAAGCGCCGGAAATCTTCGAAGTGTTGGACAAGCTGCTGCAAGGCTACACGTATCGGTTGCCAAACACGCTTTATCCAGAGCAATATAACATCACCCTCGCGCCTTACATAGAAGAAGGCATCTTTGAGGGAAATGTTCAGATAGACATAAGAGTTGAAAAGAACACCTCAGCTATATTCCTCAATTCGTACAATTTGGATATCAAGCATATGAACGTCTCCAGAATTAACTCGAAGGACGATTCGAAGGATGAGGAAATACCAATTTCAAATTACACGTTGAACCCTTACACGCAACAACTGAAGATATACCTGACCGAATTCATAAATGCGGAGAAGATAAAGGTGAACATCGAGTTCAACGGGACTTTCAACGACAAAATGCAAGGATTCTATCGTAGCTCCTACCTGGACAAATCCGGGACATTACGGTGAGCAACATCCTTTATTACACACCACAGTAATTGAATGATCAATAACTTGCGATTTAATTCGGGGGGTGTCGTATGTAATCACTCTCCAATCGTTCGTGATTTTGTCATCAACGTTGCTTCGCCACTTCCCTTCACAGCTGGCTGGCCACGACGCAATTCCAGCCTGTGCACGCTAGAGAAGCCTTCCCCTGCTTCGACGAACCGGCGTTCAAATCGAAATTCCTCATTAAAATTCAGCGACCGACGCTCTACAATACTCTGAGCAATATGCCGCTCTCGGAAAGTATACCATCAGAGTAAGTACGAACGAGAACAAACTCGATGTACAGAGTGTTGCACTTACATACAGGTCAGTACGACGGGTTACCTCGTCGGCAGGCACGCTTTCTTTTCTATGAAGTTTACTGCGTTCAATTGCGCGCGTGACAATTTCGTCAAGATCTACTATGACACGCTGCCGACGAGGCAATCCTATATGTACTGACCTGTATGTAAGTGCAATATCCTGTACAGTACAGTTTCCTAACGTAAGAGATCAACGGTATATTCACACGCTGTATCGATACGAATGTGTTTGTTGTTTCAGAAAAGTTAACTATACTTGGGACATCTTCCAGACCAGTACCGTAAAGATGCCAACGTATCTAGTGGCATTTATTGTCAGTGAATTTAAGTCTCTGAAAGAACCTGCGGACTCGATCAACATTTGGGGTAGAAAAGAAATCGTGGAAAGCGGCTATCTCGCTCGAAACGCCGCTGTTGTGCATCTACGCACTTTGGAGAACTTCACGGGCATTGAGTATCCTTTGACTAAATTGGACTTGGTGGGGATCCCGGATTATGCCAGTGGCGCGATGGAGAATTGGGGTCTCATCACTTTCAGGTAACTGAACTTCATCCGAACTTTGATCAACGCTCAAGCGGCTTCACTGCGCTAGTCACTGTCTGAATTTTAAGCGTAAACGAAGCTGAGACATGTTTATTTACTTATTTATATATGGGAAAATTTGTTATGTAATACGATATCTCTTGGATAGCGAACGCGCACTTTTCTATGAAGAGAACATAACCACAAGCAAGTACGAGAAAGACATAATCAGCACCATAGCGCACGAATTGGTTCACACATGGTTCGGGAATTTGGTTACTTGTCAATGGTGGGACTATATTTGGCTCAACGAAGGTTTCGCCGAATACCTGGAGTGGTACGCGACTGCTCAGGTATGTAAACCTTGACATTTAACAGCTCTTTTCATTTTTTACTCCAATCATTGACTCGGTAGATAAAATTTGTAACTCATTTTTTCTAAGAATTCGAAGAATCAATCTAAATTTAACGTCCTTACTTCGAGATTAATTTTTCCAAACTTCTTAGAACTTCTCAGACGATAATATTAGTGCAGAAATTATTATCACGATAAACAGCAGAGAATTTTCAGTTGCTGCCTGAGGATCAACTCATGGATCAATTCGTGGTTTACGAGCTGCAGGAAGCTCTGGCGAAAGACTTAACGGATTCAGCACATCCAATGACAAATCCCGTGAAAACTCCCGAAGAAATAAAGGACATCTTCGATTATGTCAGTTACGGGAAATGTATGTATGATATCAAAAGGCTTTCACGCGATCAAGACCGGCTTTCGTTTAAATAGCGCTTTTTTCATGAGATATCAGCTGTAATGCTTGAAATCTAAATCTATTTCAGCTTCTTGCGTCTTACGAATGTTATTCAATGCGTTCGACGAAGAAGTTCATAAATCGGCACTTCACAATTACTTGACAACACAACAAAAAGTGGGTACGGCACGTCCCGAGGATTTGTGGAAAAGTTTCGAACCGTACGTATCGATATCAAGCGGTATTATAAAACTGAACATCAAGGAAGTGATGGATACTTGGACGAATCAGGCGGGATATCCCGTCGTCCATGCGTCTTTGGACGATTCTCTACTGACGCTCACTCAGGTAAGCATCGTGTAGCCACGCTGTTTTCCAATCATTATGTTTTCTTCGTCTCGATATTTTTTGAAACAAGTATTACACGACACGCACGCGTTTTAGGGGCGATTTTTCCTAAATAAAGAGACGAGATGGATACACAGAAATAGCACAGAATTCTACTGGATACCGATTCATATCACGACGTCACTTATCGAAACATTGTCTACCGACGCGTCATATGACATAAAAACCGACGTATGGCTGGGGCCGGAACCTATGCAATTATACATTAACCCCGTTAACGAGTGGGTCATCGTAAATTACAAGCAGACCGGCTTCTACCGTGTTAATTATGACGATTACTCGTGGCTACGACTAATTGGAGAACTGCAGGGCATTCGATACTGGACAATCAATGTGGTGAATCGCGCTCAGATCATGGACGACCTCTATTATTTGGCACGCGCCGGTTACGTGAATCAGGAACTCTGGTGGAAAGCAACGAAATATTTGATTCAAGAGACGGAACATCTGCCCTGGAAGACGTTCATCAACAGCATGTCCTACGTTTACGAAAGATTCGAAGGGCGGGATTATGAGGACGTACTAAAGAAGTACATCTTGAAATTAATGTCCAAGACGTACGATCAAGTGGGATTCAACGATCTCGGTAGCGATAAGCTAATGGATCGATTACACAGAGAAATGATTCTCCAATGGGCCTGCAAGCTCGGTAAACCGCAATGCGTCGAGAAGTCTATAAGTTTGTTTGCATCTTGGAAGGACGGTAAGGGAAGGTGAGTCTCTATTATATTTCAATAAATTATTATACTTATTTCAATTCTAAGATCCAACATTTTTTCGAGGAAATTCCAATGAAGAAAAGATTGAAATCATAGATTTTATTCAGTGCTTGCTTTTCGAGGTTAGGTTAGGTTAATTAACGTATAAATATAATATATTAAAGCTAATTTATAAATTTATTAATTATTAAATTTTATTAACAAATTTATTTTAGTCAACCATAGCAATTTAAATGTCTCGATATAGATTTGTTTTATAAATTTTCGTTATAAATATCTACTCGCGTGCGCGCGATTTTTACTCGCAGTATTCCAACTCATGCACAAGCAGCTGTCTATTGCACCGCATTAAGAAATGGGATTAGTGACGATTGGGACTTCTTGTGGAACAAGTATCTAAAAACGAATTTAGCTTCCGAGAAGCTCGTCATTATAAACGCACTCGGCTGCTCGAGGAACCAAACTGTACTCTACAAGTAAGTTCACAAATCACGTATGCAATAATTATCTATATGAAGTGTTTCTTCCCGAACTAATCAAAACTTAACTAGCTTATCGAGCTCGCGAAAACAGACGAAAAAACTCATCCATAAATCCACGAATCACATAATTATTTCTTTGATATTCGACTATTTATTTGTCCAATTATTTCTTAGATTTCCTTCAGTTTAGCGTGCATCACTAACGTTTATTTCATCGTCAAAATTACATAAAACTGAACGAAGAAAAAAATTTAGACAATTTTGTCGCAAAAAATCGTGCGTCATGTAGACTTAAACCGCGACATTTACTCACGATTATCCTTCGGTTTAGCAATAAAACTGTTACATATATACGTGACAAGAAAATCGTTTTTTGTTGTGCATCTCTACATCACTTTATTAGCTTTATTATAAATATGGGCCTTTAAAAACTAAGACATGTTTGATAACAATAAATGCCATAGTTAGTCACGCTTTAGAGTCGTTCTACATTAGTTGAAAGGTTCAAGGTCGCAAAGAAAATTGACAAATCACAGTCAATTGTTCTTTGGTCGTAAGAAAAACCATCGACTGTGACTGGTAAATTTTCTTACGATCTTGCGATTTGCAACTGATGTAGAACTGGCCTTACATTCTAATGTCAAAACGAGACGCGCACAGAACGCGAGCGCACTGCAAACTAAACACAGGCCAGCTACTGCAGACCGTTGGGCACCCAAGAATGGGGAATGACCGCCGGGTGAGCGGCCTGACATAGCGTGAAAGTGGGGGAATGCCGCAAAACGGGTCCGCGATGACCTACACAATCCCTGTGGAATGCGAACCTATCCTTTCCGCGTGTTTTAAACAAACAGGTGTTATTGAATCGAAACGAAAAGACGAACGATCTGGCGGAGAGAACGCATTACTCAAAGCTATCGCCAATAACTTCTATGTGTCGTAGAGCCTTTGAATCATTAGAAAGTTGAGACTCACGCGTTTCTAATAAACATGCAGTCGCGTTCCTGCACTAAATACGAATTAATTAATGATATTAGCTTCTCCTGACGGAAAATATCGATTGTCTACAAATCGAAGCGGGAATTTATCTTCGATGAAAACTGAGGAATTTCGGATTGATTGGCGTAATTACAAAGAAGCAGTTCTTTTTGTTTTCAATTGTATAAAATAGAATTAGGGAAAAGAAATAACAATGGTGTCTAAAATAATGTGTAATATAATAGTGAGAGTCTCTTTCGCATATCAATTCTTTAAAAATTAATCTAATTTATTTCTGAAATTGTACAGAGAGAAGATAATATCAAAAGATTGTGGGTGTGCATATATTTGACTCTGCGTAAATTGTTAACTCTCTAAACTCTGTATATCTCCCGAATTCCGCTTCGCTCGATGAATTCATAAACAATTCATTTCATGTCCTTAGTTACCTGATGAAAGTCATCAAAGATAATAAGTACAACATCGTTATTCGTAAACAAGATGCTTCGGCAGTATTTGCTTCCGTATATGGCGCAAGTCAATTAGGAATAAACGTTACACTTGACTTTTTAATAAATAATTTGGAAGAGATCCATGATTAGTGAGTATTACTACAAAATTGCAATGAGATTTACTTATAGCAAGACTCCTATATACTTACAAGTTTCATACATTTTTATTACAGTTTCGGTAATTGGGACGACGTTCGACAATTGGCCGCAAATGCAGCGTCTCACATTTCGAATATCCTAGTATATAACAAGGTATGATCGTTCATTACACGCAGAATGAATGTCTGTTCAAAAAAGCTAAAGATGACTTTAAAAAATTTGTTTAAATTGTTTAAAAACATTCGAATTGTTAACTACTACTATTGCATTATTTTATTAACATCGCCTATATTTTTATAACAATATTCTGTTTCTATATATTGCATACTTTAACAAGATTACATTGCTTTATGTTATTAGCATGTTTTTTTCATATGGGATATTTATCATTAGTGAAGTGATATTTTAAATTTAGCAAGTAAAGAGAATTGCGAAAATTTAATTAAATATTATTAGATTTGATATATTATTTTCGTAAAAAGTAGTGGTATTTAGTATCTATGTGATTTTATTGAATATTAAATGATGAAAAATGTGTCATTTGTGTTCCAGTTGTCACTCCTTTATGAAACTAATAGGGAAGTATTTCCAACGAGACTCACACGACCCGTTTATAAAAATGTGGACGACAATTTAAACTGGTACTTTACAAATGGTAAAGAATTTGGTTACTGGATATCAGTGGAACTGCATGAAAATAATAGTAATACTGGCGGAGGTTGTGCAGTAATAGAACCGTTGAATATTGCTCTTATAACACTCGTTGCTTTAATATCGTACGTTTTAAACTGTTATTGAAAAATGCTAAGAAGCTAAGGAGTTGTAACAACATTTTGTTTATTATACGCGATCAAGTAATAAATAAAAAGTATTTCATTATAAACACGAAATCATTTTGTCGAAATAAATATGTTTTTAGCATAAAATTATTGTAGGATAATGCAAATAATATATGTGTATATATGTAAAGTAATTTGTGTGTAATAAGTAAATATGTAAAGTAATATCAATAAAAATAAATTTCTATACATTCTTCGTGTCTCCGAATATCTATCTTGAAACACCTGTTGTATATGTGTTTATGTTAATAAATTAACATTTGAAGAGTACATGTTCGTTGATTCACTAATGGGAGAAATGAAGTAATTCGTACGATAAAGTTTGTAAAAATCGATACAATTTTATTATTTATATCCATAAGATGTGCAACATGCAGCATTTTCAAAATAATGCGGTATCATATCTTCGGTAGACACTGTTTCCTGCTGTTACAAAATATAGATCGCATTGCAAACTCTTAATGAATAATTAGAATCTTATCGTACGCGAATCGTTCGGCAATCGGTCGGGACGCGTACATGGTTCTCAGTTCGCACAAATCGACAATTGCAGAATTCTTTGAGACTATAAGTACGTAGAGTAGATCAGATCATCTTAAAAATAATGTTTGACTTCTTAAGCAACTTTTTAACATGTGCGAGTCG